AGTGCCACCTGTGGTCAGGCGGTCCAGAGATGTCTAAGAAGGCAGGCAGAGCAATCCATGAGGAGCAAGCCAGTAAGCATCACTCCTTTATGTCTTCTGCTTCAGTTCCTACCTTCGGGTTCCTGCCCTGACTTCCCTCAGTGGTGGAGTGTAAAGTTGTAGGATGAAACCCTTTCCCCCCAAGATGCTTTGGTCATGGTGTTTCATCACAGCCATAGGACCTAAGGCAGCACACGCACAGGCAACGCATTCACATAATAATACATTGTTTTTATTAATGATAACATGTGAAGAGGACAGTCATGAAAGCCCACAAGGGCTGTATCAAGACAAACTGTCCGGAACCAGCGACACTATGTGTCACACACTGGACATTTATGTCATTTCAGATTTATAAGTTGACACATAATCCCATGTGAGGTGGGATTGGGGAGGTGAGCAGATCATTAAAATGAAACCTTCGTGGATTGGGGCTAGGGTTCACATAAGGAAGCTCCAGGGAGCCAAACTAGAACACAGCTAAAAGATGTCATCTATGACTCGGGGCAGGCACCTTCACCAGACTCTGAGTGCCCTTGCCTTGAACATCAGCTTCTCAGATCTGACACTGAGACAGATAAACCTAGCTTATGATATTTTGTTATAGCAGAATGAACAAAAGCAACACTAGAGACAGGAAGTAAATCAGCCGTCGTTAGGGTGTGTTTGTGTTAATTAAATAATATAGAGTACTAAGGAGCTAATTAAAAATATGAGATTAAGGTATGGTCATGGAAATGTACTAATTCTTCTATAATAGTTGATGTAGCATCTTGTAAGTCCAGTTGGAAAGGGTAAAACATGGAAGATATATAAGTGTTAGTCTATACTTTAACTTTGAAAAAAATGATGTAATAATTTTACTGATATCTCATTGAGAACAACATAGAGGTAAAGAGATCTATCTGAAACCAGTTTAAGCAGGTTCAAATCTTTCCTTCCTTAGTTCACTTTAACATAGGTAGGCTCTTTGAATATATATATGATAGGGTGGAGGACAACCGTGCAGCCATTCTAGGTTGGTTGATGAGAATTCTAATTCTAGTTTAGAGGTAAAACTTCACAAACTATAAAGACTATGATAAGAACGGCTTTAAATGAAATAAATGAACCATTAGAATATACTGTGTTTCATGTGGTGTAAGCATTTTGGCAATCAAAATAATGCCGTGGTATCCCTGAAAGTCCTAGAAAATGTGTGATGGATTTACCCCAACAAATATAACAATGAGCTTTTGTGTGTAAGAGGGTCAGAAAATGGAGAGTAAATACTAATGAGCACAGGGCTTTGAGGAAAAGCAGCAGCAGTAGCTGCAAAGGCTGTGACTATACTACATACCACTCAAGAGAGTGCGTCTGATGGTGTGTGAATTAGGTTCTCAATAAAGATGTTAGGAATGCATGTGGACGCTTCGCAGGCCATACACAACCAGGGCATTCATTTCAGTAGCTGCAGACTGGCATTCTGTTCTTTTATCTAATTTATTTTATTTTTATACTACCTTCATTTAGGGTTTTTATTATGAGTAGTGCTCTAATAGCTACTACCATAGATAAAGGGATTGTTTTCTTTGTTTAGGTTAAATAGTCACAAAAAAGGTTGACCCAAATTGCGCATAACTGCCTCCTTCTGAAAGGTGCTTCCGCTGGATGGCCACCGCTCCCCAGCCTTCCAGCCTTCCAGCACTGCCTACGATCTGACTGCTGCTGTCAAGATCTGTTGCTGTTTTAATTCACATCTTTAAAATCTTTAGTCACATTTAAGACATTTTCCTGTTTTCACCAGGTATTTGCATTTTCTTTTATACATTTTCTGATACTTGGGGTCTTTGCATTGATTTTTGCAGTAGATTTTTCTTCTGTATCTTTTGTACAGATGTGAAGCATTGCCTACCTTCATTATGCAATTAACCCTTTTTTTGCCGTGTTTCCTAACTGTAGCCCATCTATCCTTTGATTTTCATTTTGCCTAATACATCCTGGACATAAAAACTTACTTTTTTCTCACATTTTTATTTATTTGTTTTTTTATTTTTGGTTTTTCAAAACAGGGTTTCTCTGGCCTCTTGGGCTTTTAACTCTGCATTTGGCTCTGTGTTTCTTAATTAATCTCTGTGTTTCTTAATTACATCTACATACTAACATGATTGACACTCACATAAAACAATCCTGAGTCTGTTCCTGTGTAGTCTGTAGACCCCAAGCCCCCTTGTTTTAAAAACCCTGCCCCATTGCTACTCAGGGTCTCTCCTGCTCTGCTGCTGCTGTGTCAGATGGATGGAAAGTCCCGAGTTTCCTGGAGGCCCTCTGGCTATCCTGGAACTCGATTTGTAAACCAGGCCGACCCTGAACTCACCGAGACCCGCCTGCCTCTGCCTCCTGTGTGCTGGGATTAAAGGTGTGCACCCCCAGTACCCAGCTACATTTGTATTTATTGAAACTAGATGCAGTGTCATCAATATATTCTGCTCACAGTCCCCTCCTCTGACTCCTCCCGGGTGTTCCCCACCAAATTTTGCTCTCTCTCATTAGAAAACAAGCAGGCATCTACTAATAAAACGATAAAAACAAAATCAAACCAACCTGAATAGGACAAAACAAATGAACAAGAAAAAAAAGGGGGCCAAAGAAAAGCACAAGAAACACATATTGACACAGAGAGCACATACAAAAACTTCCATAAAGTCACAAAATTGGAAACAATAATATGTGAGCAAAAGATCAGCAGGGCTTTTTAAAAAATGCCTCAACAAAACATTATTGAGAGAAGTGACCCCAAGCTCCCATCCCTAACTCAGAAGCTGTCTTCAACTGATAACTACTTGCAAAGGAAAACTTATTTTTCTTCAATAGAATCTCACTGTGTGTGCAAACCGCTCTTCGTGGCAGGCCTGTGCTCAGCAGTAGATGGCCAACAAAAAATGAACTCAGTGGTATTTTAGGAAAACTTTACTTTTTATGAGACAAAATATTAATAGCTTACCTTAGAGCTTATCTGATTTACTTAGGAATTCCTCACCATCTGTGGTGCTTTGAATAAGAATGGCGCCCCCTAGGTTCGTATATTTAAATACTTAGGGAGCGATATTATTTGAAAGGATTAGGAGCTGTGGCCTTGTTTGAAGGAGTGTCACTGGGGATGGTCTTTGAGATTTCAAAAGCCCAAGCCAGGCCCAGTGGCTCTTTCTTCCTGCTGCCTGTGGATCTGGGTGTGGAACTCTCAGCTTCTTCTCCAGCACCATGTCTACCTGTGTGCTGCCATGCTCCCCATCATTCTAACAATGGGCTAAACCTTTGAAACTGTAAGTAAACCCCCCAATTAAATACTTCCCTTTATAAAAGTTGCTGTGGTCATGGTGTCTCTTCACAGCAATAGAACACTGATTAAGATACGATCATAACCCCCGAAGTTATATTAATAGAAAAATTATACTATTCCATTTACATAATTAGATCTTTAATCCAAATCATTTGCATATGATTAAGAACAACTAGAATTTTCCTGATGAGTAGACAAAACACCAGTAGCTCCCTGTGATTTAAACCTCTCCTCCTCCTAACATCAGCTCATGAAAACAAATTTAAAAATTTTAAATTTAAAAATAATTTTAAACTTCCCAGAAGCTTTTCTGTTCTCTGCTTGGACTCCTTTCCATGTAACTAGTTAATCTCTTTCTGTTCTTGCTTCACCAGAACCACCTCATCTCACTTGGCTCAGTTTCCTGGATGCTTGCAAAGCTGTTGTCTGGGAGCTAACTGACCACTCTGAAGCTGTGTTATGGAACACTGTAGGCTAGGAGTTTGTGAATAAAAATGTCTTCCTCACCATTTTGGAGCTCAGGACTTCAGGATGAAAAGACCTATAGATTTGTTTCCTGGGGACAGAGGGCCTCCATGCTGGTTGACAGAGGACCATCTTCTCTGTGTCCTCACATGGTGGAAGGGACAAGAGGCTTCCTTGATAAAGTGGTAATCCTCTTTGCAAGGGTTCCTACTCTAAGGCTGAATTATCTCCTGACAGCCCTACCTCCAAATATCAACCATATTACTAGGACTTCAACATTTGGGGGACAAGGAGGACACAGAAACAATCTATACTATGTCCAAGGCTACTCTTCTGTTGTTGCTTGTCTTTCTGGTAGTGGTTGCAGACAGTATCCTGTACATTTTTATGTCAAGTGGTATAAGGATTACATTCCTATGCACAGACAAGGCTAGCAACATCATAGACTACCAGACCACTCCAGATCAATGGACACCCCCTCACAATCTTTATATATTGGAACAGCAGTTTCTCTACATTACCTGTGGACTGTTAGATGTCTGCAGTCTACAGGGCTGGAATGCAATATGTGATTTGGCTTCTGGAGAGAAAGCTCATTTCCAGAGCACTGGATGGGTTCTGTTTGTTGTGAAACAATTAGACACATGTTGGCTTGCATTTCTGTGCAAGCCCACATTAATCACAGCCTGTTGTAATCTAGCTGCTGATTGTTGCCAAGGATGAGAGAATGCATCTGCATTCCAGCCAGTTCCATGCATTCCAATCACCTGAAACAATGGAATTAAAGTCGTGGCAGCTAAAATGAAGCCACTCAAAACCTGGGAACACAATATATGTGGGTATAACCTCTGTAGTGTGTGCCTGAGGGGGAGACGTTTTTTATCTTATTAGGACATATGCTAATGCAAATTAGAAAATGAGAAGTTATTGAAGGCAATTCTGCTTCTGAGCAGTGTACGGGGACAAAGTATTGCACAATCTTTCTAAAACTGTAAATTACATCTGGTTTGAACTTCATCTGAAACTCAAGAGTGTGAGAGGACCCTAAGTTTCCTATTGAACACACGTCTTAAATGAGAATCCAGCACTCAGGAGACAGCTGACTGACAGTATTCCACCTCACAGAAGCCTGAGTGGGTACACATCAGAACACTTACAAAACTCCACTCAGCTGTTGGCTCCTTGTGCATTCATCAGAGCCCTGCAGCAGAGAGCCTTCAAGACAGACATTCATATGTCAAGAACTCAGCTTTGCTTTACTTGATGTCCCAGACAGATTAGCAGGTGACCACTTCCCACACCACAGTAATTGGGCCAGCATGAATCCATGCTGGAGATGAAGCGAATCTGTGGTCTCAAGTGTCATGGCCCTTGGTTCCAGCAGAACTGGCAAAGCTGCTGCTGAGGTTATTGGAGTCAAATGGTTGTGGGGAACAGTTTGTCTCACGCTATGTAACAGGAGATAGAAATGAGTCCATTCCTGGCGCTTAGGGTTGAGGATCTGTCTACCATGTCCTAACAGTCAAGCATGTCCACCCCGTTCTTGATGCTTATATCATCATAATAGGAGGGTGAGTGTGTGTGTGTGTGTGTGTGTGTGTGTGTGTGTGTGTGTGTGTGTGTGTGTTAAGTAAGGAAAAGACAAAGGTCATTAGTTATTGGTCTGATTAAATATGTTTACCCTGAGTAAAATTTACCCAGAAAGTAATGGTGCATATATGTGTTCCTAATACTTTCTTACCCCGTGAATGCTTCTGAAATGATATTACAAGCATATGGAGTTGTTATCAGTGATTTTTTTCAATTCTTAAAACTACAATCCAATCAAAATATAGAATTTGACTCGGAGTTGAAAGAGCCCAATGGGGTGTGTTCAGCAGCAGCTTTCCTCCGGCTCCTCTGCCTGGCTTTGGGTCCTGTGCACCCAGTGGGTGGTAAAGTGGCCACAGCTTTGTCTGTTTCAGATTATGAATCCCATACTGTGTCCCTGGGCTCTAGTGAATTGCCTCAGCCTCTCTTCAAGTTGATTTTCTGTGCACCTATTGTAGACAAGGAGCTCGAGAGCCACTGGAGAACATGCCAGAACAAGTCCTTGTGCCCCATCTGTGTGGATGATGGCTATTACACTGCAGCTTGAAAACACTGTTTCCACGGCAGAGAGACCACTTGAGAAAAGAGTCCATGAGAAGCAGGTACCTGTGATTGTTCTGCAAGGATAGCTCTCTAAACAGAAAGTGCTTTCAAAATGTCCCCATTTATTTTATCCAGTAGGACAACAGGACCGATTGTGGGTATGTTCACAGCATCCGCTCAGGAGCCGAGTGCCCCACTACTGCCTGTGAACTTGTGCTGTTGGGTTGGTCCATTTTAGCCCCTTTGTCTTCCATCCACACCCTGCTGCAGATGTGTGATGCCTTGTTGGGAAAGCAGGAATTTTCAATGGTCAAATCTGCTCCTACAGCAGACACTCTGGATTAAAGCCCAGCTCTGCTCCTTACCAGCTGGCCACCTTCACAGAGACATTCCTCTGCTCATCTATGAAACTGAAATAACACAGGTTTGAGTATGCCTTACCTCAAATACTTAAGTCCTGAGGTGTCTTTGAATCTCCCTTTTATTTTGAACTATTTACTTGTCTGTGTGTTCATACCTTGGGGATAAAGCCCAACTCAACATTCAATTCCCCTTTCATATATGCTTTATAGATATAGCCTGAGGGTTAAATTATACAATATTTCTATGGTGCCTGCATTTTGACTGTGTCTCTTATGAGATTAGGTTTGGCATTTATTTCCCACTTCTGTTGTCACATTTCTGCTCAGAACATTTAGAATTTTGGAGTATTTCAGATCCTCAATGTTTAGATTAGCTTGCTCTGTAGTACCCATGGCTGTAAGAATCAAATGACCTACTCATCAAGTACTTGAACCATTGAGCCATACCTGTATAAAGTCTCTTCTTCCATACTTGTTAGTGCCTGCTATTACTTGGACCTCTTGATAAAAACTATGATGTAGCTGGGCTGTGGTGGCACACACCTTTAATCCCAGCACATGGTAGGCAGAGTCAGGCAGGTCTCCAAGTTCAAGGCCAGCCTGCTCTACAGAGAAAGTTCCAGGACAGTCAGGGCTACACAGAGAAACCCTGTCATGAAAGCAAAACAAAACAAAACAAAACTATTAAGTAAATTTGAGTAACTTTCCCTTTAAAATGAGGCAGCTGGGGTTTGGTGATGTTGAACGACTGTCTCAAGCCAGTCTCTAGACAGAAGCCAGACAGGATCCAGAATCTCTGAGACCCATGGAAGAGCTTTCTCTGACTCTCTGACAGCACAGGGTGGCTTAGCCTTTAACAGACAGGGCATGTGGGTTCCATGGACCAGCATCCAGCAACATAAGGCCTTAAAGGGAAGCCACAGCGTTGGTGGGTACTACGGCTTTTCTCTCTGAGGGGTTAGGGGAAAAGACACACTCTCTCGATGGTTTCCTTCTTTATTCTTCTGTATTCTTTATTCTGTGTTCTATATTCTTTTTTAAAATCTCTATCCAGAAATGTCCCTTCTGTCTCTCTAGATGTTTTCCTTCTTCTAATTCTCATGATGTTCTCCTCCTAACTCATTCTTGATGTTTCCTTCTCACTCATTTTAACTCTATCTTTATTCTTTCCCTTACAGTTACATACTCCAGCAAAATCTTTCAGGCAATATAAAAATTACAATGTGGTTACATTCTTTTTTTTTTCAAGTGAATGATTACAATGGATATAAGTAAAAACCAGCATGTTTTCCATATCCCTTATATGATTAAACATTTTACGTATTACATGTGAAAAACAAATTATCCCAAGAACCCATGTGCATTCATACCCAAGCAACTTGCTATGGATTAACAGTGTGTAAGCAAGCAAGATACTCTTTTACTGGCAGGCTGCATTTTTTTTTTTTTGTTTACAACGAAGGTCCAATCACTTTATTACTTATCTTGAAAAGTAATCTTCTAAGGAATATTAAAGGAATCACAAACATAAACTTTTACACATGAAAAACAGTCAGCTCTACTTTAAATCTTTAGGGTGCATACCCACTCATTAATAGTTTTTTATATCAGGAGATTGAGAGCAGAAATGGGTAAAAGGTATTAATCATCACCTTTGGTCATCAACAGATCCTAGCAAGAAAGACACTTCAGCTAATGATAATTGGGTGCTTTGTTCTCATTCCCTGACCTTAACCAGTTTCTCATTCAACTATGTTCCTTCTAAAACTTTAGATTGTCTTCTTGGGTTTTTTACCTCAAAGCTATTTATCAAAAACATTTTATTCTACCCTTAAGTTATTTTCAAAGCTTTGTGTCAGCTGTAATGCACACTGAAACCTGTGGACACATCTCCCAACATTAAGGTTAAAAGAATTTAAGCTAGCTAGGCTACTGGGACTCAGTTGTTTTTCTTAAACATTAACCTAAGGCACAGTTTATATGGCTCCTCAATAGAAACTCATGTGTTCTAGCTGTGTGACACTTCCTTGTTTTATTTTTTATCATCAAAAAGCTATTTAAACTAATATTATTATTATCAGTTAGACAGCACAGTGTAAGAAGAAATCATGTTTATAGTAATCCATAGGTAAAAATGCCCAGTAGAACAAGATGTTTCCATGAGATAAACACACTACATTACCGGCAGTGGGGATCTCCCCAACCCATTCACACCATGCCAGATACCAGAGAAAGATGGCAACAGCAGACATGTACAGGCACAGCAGTAGCAAAAGACACTCTGGAGTCCATGGTCTTGGGGCCTTGCCTATCCGAAATTTACCCATCAAGTATTTGCCTCCCGGTGTGCTGACCCCCTGAAGTCAACTGCCATTTGCTGCTCCTCTGACATGGCCACCGGCATCTGTGCTAAGAATCTATTCTTAGAGTAAGAAGATCACGGCAGGTAAGTGGGGGGTTTAAAAGTCACTGCGCTATGAGGCTTGGCTTGGAAAGGACAGGTGCCTAGTCATCAATATTTTGGCCCCTTATCTTTCTCTCCTTTCTTCTGGTTACATGGGACAAATGTCCCTTTCAGGAAGTATGGACTCTGCAATAGACACCTCAACTCTTGAGTTAAAGGCACAACTTGGAACTTTTAGAAAAAAGTTGCAAGGTCAACTCTGTGGAGTTTAATTATGCACAGACATCCTCACATCACAAGTGATTGGTGAGCAGTAAGGTGGGGTTTTTCCGTCCCAGACCTCTGGGATGCTGTGGCCCATATCCCTACACTGCCATGGTTCTTCCTATCCAGGCTTGGCACCACCATCTTTTATCACACATCAAGTTGTCCTAAAGATAGTTTTTGTCCTTTCTCATTACAGCTTGTGTGAGCAGGTAGATACCGTCTGTGCTAGCCTCTAGCCACTTCCTTTCTTGCTCACTATGGTGCCCTCTCCCTGTCTCTTAGAAAAGCCCATGTTGCTGTCATTGAGAACCTGGAAGTGATCACTCTGGTTTCCTGGGTCCTTATTCTGGATGCTCCAGAAGAGATCAGACCTTAGCCTATCTAACTAATATACTCTTTATTACAATAAAGAATGCAAGGTCCCTGCAAGTCTCTGAACATTTTGACTTCCTTTTCTACTTTGAAGAGATAAGAAGGAAGTCAATGGAACCTATAAACACCCAAGGGAGAAATATAGGACACTTATAATATTTTATTTCTTTTGTTTTATTTTGGCCCACTACTAGAGCAACTGGAAGACTTATTTTCTGTCCCATATTACACCACACTTGGAGAGATGGCAGACTCTGGTGACATGATACCAGCAAAACTGAGAAGCCACCCATCCTGAGAGATATGGTTTATTAAAAAATCATGATCAGATTCATTAATTAAGCTTTTGGTCCTCATTATTAAACATTTGTGTAGTAGTGTCACCTCTGAGGATCGATCATACATGTCAGTGTATGAAGAACATGAAGCCAGCCCACCAGGGGTGGAGGTACTGGAACTGTTGAACATTGCCACTTGTCTTTTGTGAAAGGAAACAACTGTGCACACCATTCACAGAGGAAAACAACAACCTGTCTATTCATGCTTCCAAAGTGACAAAGCACTGCAACTGAAAGCAGCTTTGTCTTATCACTGTATTGTGCTGAAATGGAAAAGTAATCTCCACAGGGAGACACCTTTCCCTCTGAGTTTGGTCTTGTTGGGTTGGCACAGGTTATTAAACTGTTTTGTGTTGTATTCTGCAAGACCATTAAAAAGAAGTGTCTGGTACTTTTGTGAAAGACACTATGAGGTGGGGGCACATGATGGTGAGGCTGATAGATCAGCTTTGTTCTCCAGATGTTAGGGATCATTCTGCATTGGCTGCTTAAGCACACATGCTTTAACCTCTAGCCAGTGCAAGAAATTGAAAATTCCTTCACTATAGATAAGGAAAAGTCTCTTCTAATTTTGATTTATTCCTTCTTGTCATTCACAATACATGTTGCTATTTTTAGATGTTATTTTTCCCATTTGTTTTTCTTCATGTCTCTCCTTCCTTCCATATTTGTTAACTACCTGTTCTCTGTCAATCATTGATTCGGTGCATTAGCAAGGTCCTCTACCTCAGGCAGCCCAGGCCCACAGTTCCTTGGCCTTCTCTGACACATTAATCATCCTCTCTACTTTTCTGTTATAATTTACTGTATGGTCACCTTCCTATTATCAAAATCTTTCCCACTTCGAACTCTGATACTTTCCATTTTCTAAGTCAACTCCTCTTTCTATGTTTAAAGCCTCATTCTAGAAGCTGACTGGAGTTGACTGTCCTCTTGCAGTATTCCAGGAGAAACACTACCCCAAGGCACATTCTTTTTTCTGGTCTACCACGAGGGGTGTGTTAGTCACAGCTCAAAAGTGACTTCACCCTCAATCAAGCGTCTTCAACCACATCTGCCTTAGTTACTGTTTTATTGATGTGCAAAAATAATATGACAAAAACAACTTTGGAACAGTCTATAGTTTCAGGCAGTGAGTCAATGAGGAGCATGGCATCAGGTTTACATCTTGATCCACAAGCACAAGGCACAGAGAGCTAACAGTGAATGGCATGGGCTTTTGAAACCTCAAAGCTCACCCCCATTCACATACTTCATCCAGCAGGGCCATACCGGAAGACTGTTCTCATTCAAACCACTACAGTCTATCACACTGTCATCCAAGGAACAATACTGATATTACCATGTGGTCACTTTGTGGCAGCTTTTGTTGGTGTCCTGTGTTGTGTGAGTGTGCAAATGAAAGAGAGTCACCCTAGAACGCAATTGGCTTCCAAGCAGCTGGGGAGCCAGCTTCTGATGAAGGACTGCCTCATGGCTTTGTAAAAGTCACACAAAGACATCTTTAGCAAGTCAGTTTCCACATACCAAAACCTTATCTGGACTTGGTTGAAGAAACCATTACCTAAGCAATTCTCAGCCACAGAAACTTCCTGGTTTGCCAAGTATGTCTGAGGCTAAGCCATGCAAAGTCTCTGTGAATCCTTCAAAAGAGCAACTCAGATAACAGTCAGAGACTATTAACACTTCAGAGCCCAGGTGCCATCACCCGGGAATTCATATCAGATACAGTGGCCCTGTTGAATCTTTCACTACACTCATTACAGTAAGACTCTCAGTGGGTAGTTTTATTATCTCCATAATAGAGAAGAAGAAACTGAGGCTTACCATATATTGGCAATACAGGATATCTAACATGCTAAAATAATTCTTTTGACAGTGTTTCTGTTTTGCCTTAAGTTGTCCTGGGTCATACAACTAATATGTAATGTAATAAAAAAATTGAACCCACACCATCTGATTTCAAAGCCAGACAGCCTGAATGTTCTTTTCCTTTCTGAGGCAGTCTTGGCATATAATCTAGGTTCCCTGACTCAGTGTTCATTTGCCTCCTTTCTCAAACACTAGAACTGTAGACCTGCACCCAGTAAGCAAAGCCTTCATGTTATGACAGCCTGACTGTTCAACGAAGGTATGAATTCTTTAGTTATGACAATTACTCACTTGTTTCTAAATTCCTAGGACCCAGAAAGGGAAAATAACTAAATTTGGAAGGAAGTGGGTGGGTAAGATGACAAGAATGGATTCAGAGTTCTAGAAAACATCAGTAATTTGAGAGACAATGTTAAAGGGATATACAGCAGCTACTGACCTTTGTGATGGCTGTATGAAATGATCCTTTGCTATGCTGGCAAGAGTTCTGGGGCAGAGCTACATGAAATTTAATTTCATTGTATTCACCCATCAGAATTGTGTACGATGCTCCAGAGTCAGGTCCTGTGCATCGCAGTGGGTGGTAGACTGGCCACAGCTTTGCCTGTGTGTCCTGTGCTCCTTCTGATCTGCAGCGCCGTTAGAGCATACAGCATGGCCTTCTTCTCAGGCCTGACTCCCCAAGCTCAGATGATGGTCAAAGCCATCTGCGTCCTATGGGCTTGCCCAAGTCCCTACCATAAGGCACTGAGGTGTCCAGGTGGACTGCTGAAGAGCTCCTTCTCTCCTGTACCCCTGCAGTATCTGAAATGATGTTAAACTGAAAAGCTTAGCAAGACATCAGAAGGGACCTGCCTGGTAGGGCAGTTTAACAAAATATTTTAAGATGTGTATACTCTCCATCTTTGAGAAAATTAATTTGTGGTGCTGAAGGGATGGCCCAGCAGTGAACAGCACTTGCTGTTCTTCCAAGGGACCCGGAGTTCTGTTTCCAGCATTTCCATCCCTGTCCAACAATGACCTGTAAGTCCAGCTCCAGTATATCAGGAATCCTCTTCTAGCCCCTGCCAGCACCCACACATGTGCTACACACATATACAGATGTAATTTTTAAATGTTTTTGGTAAAGGCACTTACTGCCAAACCTCAGGACCTGAGTTTCATTCTTGGGACCCACACTGAAGGAGTGAACCATCTTCCACAAGTTGTCTGTTCTCTGTATACGCTAGGGCTGTGCACACACACACAATAGGTAAGTCTGGATACATGGCTCAGTGCTTAAAAGTGCTTCCTTCTCTTCAAAAGGACTTCAGTTTGGTTCCAAGTACCCATATAGGTTGTTGCACACCACCTGTGACTCCAACTCCAAGGGGCCAATTGTCCTCTTCCATTCTCCACCTACACACATATGCACACATACACATAAAAATAATAAAAACAAATATTTTAAAATGAATCTTCATTTGTATGTTAAATAGCAATTTTTCTTCCATTTTTCTTCATTATAAAAATGTCTATAAGGCATTCTTTGTATCAATATAAATTTTCACGAACACTTTCATTGACAGATTCATCCTGGGGTGAACAGTCTTAGACATTGTGTCACTGTTTGAGTCTTCCAGCTAGTTTAATAGGACATTTTTAGCAATTTAAAAATGTACAAAGAGTATATCCTAAATGTTTTCATCACCAAAAGATAAAATAAAAGGCAGAGAGAGAATATCCAAATTAACAAAATCAGAAATGAAAAGAGGAGCATAATCCAGACAATCATTAGGTCATACTTCAAAAACCTGTACTCCACAAAATTGGAAAATCTGGAAGAGGTGGACAATTTTTTTAGTAGTTACCACTTACTAAAATTACATCAAAATCAGATAAACAATTTAAGTGGACCTATAATCCCTAAGGAAATAGAAGCAGTCATTGAAAGTATCCCAGCCAAACAAAGCCCAGGACCAGATGGTTTAGTACATAGTTCTAACAGACTTTTAAAGAAGAGTTAATACCAATACTCCTCAAATTATTCTACAAAATAGGAACAGAAAGAAAGTTGCCAAATTCTTTTTATGAGGCTACAGTCACCCTGATACCCAAATCACACAAAGACTCAACAAAGAAAGAGAATTACAGACCAATTTTCCTCATGAACACTTATGCAAAAATACTCATAAACCAAATAAAAAAACACATCAAAAAGATAATCTAACATGATCAAATTAGCTTTATCACAGAGATGCAAAGATGATTCAACATATGAAAAACTGTCAATGTAATCCACCATATAAACAGGAGGAAAGAAAAAAACATGTTATCATCTCACTAGATGCTGAAAAAGCCTTTGACAAAATCCAACACCCATTCATGATAAATGTCTTGGAGAGATCAGGTATACAAGGGACATACCTAAACATAATAAAGGCAATATATAGCAAACCAACAGCCAACATCAAATTAAATGGAGAGAAACTCAAAGCAATTTCACTAAAATCAGGAACGAGAAAAGGCTATCCACTCTCCCATATCTATTTAATATAGTACTTGAAGTTCTAGCTGTGAAGAGACACCATGACCACAGCAACTCTTATAAAGAAAATATTTAATTGGGGTGGCTTGCTTACAATTTCAGAGGTTCAGTCCATTATTATTATGTTAGGGAGCATGGTAGTATGCAGGCAGACATGGTGCTGGAGGAATAGCTGATAGTTCTACGTCATGTAGGCAACAGGAAGTCAACTGACTGTCACACTGAGAGAAGCTTAAGCAATGGAGACCTCAAAGTCCAGCCCCACAGTGACACAATTTCTTCAACAAGGCCACACCTCCTAGTAGTGCTACTCCATTTGGGGGCCATTTTCTTTCAAACCACCATAGGATCTGAGCAGGTCCTGAGGGTACTAGCAAACTATATGAAGAAGTTGTCCAAACGCCTATGGCTTCTACTCCTATTTCAATGTTGTCTGCTGCCCAACATGCACCTATAGTTTCATGGGGTTTTCCTTATGATCAGTTGACTGAGGAAGATGAGGACCTGGTTTGCTGATGGTTCTGTACATTATGCAGGCACCACCAGAAATGGACAGCTGCAGAATTATAACCCCCTTTCTGGGACAACCCTGAAAGA